GGGGTGGTGGCCAGCTCCTCAGTCTTGGCGCCCTGGGGGCCCGGCTGGCTGCTCGGGGTGCTCCCACTGCTGCTGGGGTTCCGGCTGTGCTGGTTGTTGTTGAGCTCGGGGTAATTCCTGGAAGACGCCTGGGAGCTGCCGTTCAGGAGGTTGATGAAGGGGGTGGCCCCGAACCCCGCCTTGGAGGGGGAGGTCTTTCTGTTGTCTGGGTCGTCGGTGGCAGCGTTCAGGTTCCCCAGAGAGCTGGCTAACCGGGAGTTTATGGAGAAGCTGGATGGGAAACACAGGGGAGGGGGGAGAGCAGACGACGCTGGACACCAGGGCTCGTGTCCACAACACACAATGACAACGTTGGGGGAATGTGACGGGGACAGTGCTGACCGACGCACAGGGGACAGAGTGGCTTTCTTGTCCCGCTGGGCGATATTACAATACGTGGTCTTGAGTGAGACCTGTGAACTCCTCCGTCCAAAGTTGCTGAGACCCAAGAAGCTGCCTAAACACCGAGACCCGAGATCGGGGTGCTGCCGGTCCTGAGGCAGGACGTAAGTGACACATACACGCAGCATGAAAACCTAAGATTAACTCAGACGTATCTGATCGCCTGACGACACGGACCCTGCCCACCTTGGGAGAAACGACAACCCAACGTGTCCTTAGCACGTACAACTCCACTGTTTTCAAGTCAGCCGACCTACAGAAAGGGACGCCGCATACCATGGCCTCCAGGGCCTTGTCCCCCCACTCACGACGGGCGGGAGCCCCAGCGTCCCAGAGCCTTTCGTGGTTCCTCCCCTGACCTGGGCCCTCCTCTGACCCACTTCAGCCAAACTCACTGCCGCGGACACCCCTCACCTCCCGCCAGGACCTCCGGCGAGGGTGAGAAAATTTACCTTCTTATACTGGCGCCCGAGGGCAAGGGGCCCCTGTTGATCCTCTTGGCCGTCGCCGAGGGGGACAGAGCCACTTTGGAGATCTTCAGAGATGACGACGACCCTTGTGGGGAGGTAGCCAGTCTGTGGGGGGAAAACGGGCAAAGCGTCACCCGACGGAAGCTGTGTCATCTCGACAGTGAGCAGTCGACTAGGACGAGCTAAATGGGTGAGCACTAAAGAGGTCCCGGCAGGTCCCGGCAACGGTGACCGCGGCAGGGGACAGTGGGCCTGTGCCAGGCGCCCTTCTGAGAGCCTCACAGATGTTCACTCGGCTCAGCCACGAGGCAGCGAGGCCTCAGCCCAGGGGCCAGACTCCGAGCAGATGTTTGGTAAATGTTGGCTGAGTGAACAAAAAGGGGGGAACTGGACTCAAATCCGACAGCCGGGCCCCAGCCCAGTTCAACAGCAGCTCCGCCGTGTCCTGGACAAACCCTCCTGCTCTCCCATCTGCGGCAGGAAGGCGCATTCACAAGGAGACTGTCCTTCACCGCCCTCCCTCCCAACGGCAGCCCCGCCCTGTCCCTAAGACAAGAATTCCAGGGTGTCGGGGCCCCTCAGGACTGCCCCTGCCAACCAACCTAAACCTGGGCTTCGTAAGGAGAGGTGAGCGCACCACGGTTGGGGTCAAACTCTCTCCTGCTCTCGCCAAGCCCCCCACGGGTGGCTGGACACGACCAGGGAGCGTGCAGGGGACATTTCCCCAGAGAAAAACACTAGTGTGTCCTCTCCAACTGGAGGGTAGGGAAGGAAAAGCAACTAGGACATATGGGAAAGCAACGAATGCGTGCCTAAATAGCAAAGAGGGATAATGGAAATGTTATCAGCCGAAGGCAAAATCTAGCAGGAGACTGAAAGGGCTGTGACAGCCAATGTCATTTATCAGTGACCCCCACGTGCAGGGAAACAGGAGGCGGTGGCAGCCACCCAGCCTGGGGGCAGCTCAGGAACACGAGCATGAAAAATAAAACCCACTGGAACAGAAAGGAAGGAATTTAAAAAGGGAAACAGGCCCAGCCAGTGTGGCTCAGTGGTTGAGTGTCGGCCTATGAACCAGGTCACCGTTCGGTGTCCAGTCGGGGCACATTCCCGGGCTGCTGGTTCAATCCCCAGTTGGGGGTGAGCAGGAGGCGGCCGGACTACGTTTCTGTCCCCCCTTCTCCCTTCCTCTCCCTGAAATCAGTAACATTTAAAAACTAGAAAGCAAAACGCTGTGTGCGGCTCAATTCTTGGCCTGAGGGCCAGGGTGCGTGTAAAAGGAAGCGTTATCTACGAGCTACGAGAAACAGAACTGCGGTCACCGTACCTGAAAGGCTGGGACACTGGCCTCGGGTGCCCTGTAATATTGTCCAACCTACAAAAATCAGAGACAAGCGCTCAGGCGTCGCCAGGCTCCCACATCCCGGCCAAGACCAGAGGCGCTGTGTTCGGGGTCCGAGCAGTAAGAGTATTAACTTGGCCAAAGGGAGACCCTTGCACACGAGTATCGGTATCCGTTCGCTTCATAAAACCAACCCCGGCGCCGGCAGGACGTCCGCTGTGGTCATTTTGTTTCCTTCTGAACTCCATTCGTAGCAAATTGCTTTTTAATCAGAAGGCGGTACTGCATCCACTCAGGGTATAAAGCGTTGGACAATTGTACCGCGATGTCGTTAAGAAAAACTCAGCTCCAAAAATAGGAGAAAATTTCTGAGACTAAAAGGAGAAAAAAAAACAGAAAAATCCTACCGAAGCGAGGCTTCTAAAACATGCGGTGAAATTCTCTCATTTATTTTCCCTGTTTATTTGCCAAGTTAGGTTCCAACTTATCCTGTCCTTACAACGTCTTAAGAATCAAATGTAAATGTTTGAAATGAATGTTAATATAAAGCCATTTCTTAAGAGTTTCAAGGGGAAAAATGGCAAATAAAAGAAATTTAATCATGAGCCCTGACTGGGTGGCTCAGGAGGCTGGAGTGTCGTCCAGGAGCATCGTCCAGGACACTGAAAGGTGGCGGGTTCGATCCCCGCTCAGCACATAAGCCGAGGCTGTGGGTGGGATGCCCGGCCGGGGTGCATAAGGGAGGCAACCGATCAATGTTTCTCACGTTGTTTTTGTTTCTCTTCCTCTCTCTCTTCAAATCAATAAAAAACATCCTCCGGTAAGGATTAATAAAGGAATCTCGAGAGCCCTCCACTGCCTCAGACAACCTGCGTAAGGAGACAGACACCAGCTCCCCGCTAACTCCCTCCACCGGGGGAGCGACGGGACCTCGCCAACCCCCGCGGCCCAGGTGTGGGGAATGACACGCACCTGGCAGAACACTCTTCCTGCCGCGTGTCTCTCACTCAGAAGTCAGAGAACCCGGCCGGTGTGGCTCGGAGGTTGAGCACTGACCCATGGACCAGGAGGTCACAGGTTCGGCTCCCGGTCAGGGCACAGGCCTGGGCTGTGGGCTGGATCCCCAGTCGGGGGCGGGCAGGAGGCAGCCGATCCATGACTCTCCCTCTCCCTTCCTCTCTCTGAAACTTTGTTTAAAAAAGTCAGAGAAAAGTAGTCCTTTCCCATCATGTCCCTCTGTGGACTTGCTACCCGAATATCACAATCAGCAATATTGACGATATTCAGATGTTTGCACCTACGTGGATCCTGAAGCCCTTTTTTCATCTAATACGAACTATCAGCAGGTTTTACATGTTGCCGTCAGAGGGCAAGTCCCGTCAACTGACTCTGCTGCGTAGGTTCAGGCAAAATCAAGACGGTTTATAGCATCGCAGGCACGGTAAGAACTGCTTATTCAGTTCTCAAAAGCAGAAGGTCAGGCTCGGGAGGGAGGGACGGCCGGGCACCGTGTGCGGTGCTGCTCTGCACGCCCAAGGTTCACACACAAGCCTCGGTGCCCCTGTGAGGTCTGCCCAGGAAGCCCCCGTGGGAGGAGCGTGGAACAGGGTCCCGGGGACAACTGAGCGCTCAGCAGTTTAAGGCGGGATTTTCAAGCCTGAGATGCAGAAGTTGCCTTCACTAAGCTTCTAAAATTTATCGCCCCCCTCCCCATGGTGCTAAAATAAGAAACACCACAAAATAGTAATACACCAAAAAGACGAGAGGGGAACCAGTACTTGTACAGTAATATTCAAAAGAGAGGGTCACACGTTCTATCCGCACACAGAATCACAACATGGATTTAAATGTTTCAGATCACTCTACCTAAATGCACAGGGCGGAGAGGAGCGCGGCTGTCGCTGGCTCTTTAAGGCACGGAGTTTGTCTCCCTGGGTTACGCTGCTTTTTATCTCCAATTCTTCATCGTCTTCTAAATTGTTCTGGGGGAAAAGTGCATGTTCCACAGAAACGTCATTAGGAGCGGTTTGGCTTTAGGTAGCTTTCTTGCTAGATGACAGGTGATCTCTGTACATAGGCATATTTTATATAGATTATCTTAAGTCACTTTAACACACTAGGAATTCAGCACTGTTGACACAGAGGGGATACAGTCAATGACACTGTTACGACGTGTTGTAGAATCGTATACCCGAAACTAATATAATTTTATTCACTAATGTCACCCCAAAAATGCAATGTAAAAAGAACTTTAAAAAGGCGCTGTAATAACGAGGTATGGTGTCAGGTGGGTGATCATGTCATCAGTTACATAAACGTCTAATCACTAGGTTGCACACCTGAAGCTAATATACTGCACGTCAACTGCAATTAAAGTATTTTTAATTTTTTTAAGAAGATGCTCGACTATTCACCAATGAACTGTACTGGTCCGATTCCAAATCAAAGACACATGGGTATGGATGTGGTAGGACTTAAAAAGAGCTATTAGCTGCAACGAGAACCACCACCAAAGAGACTCTCCTGCAGACAAAACCAGGCTTTGGAATCTAGCCTAGACACAGACTGGACCACAGATACAGAGCAAATATATTTCCAGCAACTTCCAGGGCCCATCAGAGCAAATTCCATAACTTGTTTATAAAACAAACAAAAAATGAAACAACTTAGAATATCTACAGTCACTTATTCACATGATTTTAATGCTAGTAAAAGCATTCAAGACCTTCCCAAAAGGAGTTAAAGCTTACTAGAGGGGGAAGGTGGATCTCCTGCCGAAATAAGTCTGTCTTTCCGTCTGAAAACTACGTTAAGTCCCGCCCGGTCTTTCCCCAGGCCAGCTGGCGCTGGGTTCTCACGCCCCGGGGGGAGTGGGGGAGAACTGCGCCCCTTCATCGAGAGACAAGGAACTGCTCACGGAGTCAAGACTATTGCCCGAGCTCCCGAACGCTTCACGACGGAGCTATGATTTAAAATCAGATTTCTCGTCCTCAGGTGCAGGGTCTCATCTAAAAGCGATGCCACGGCACACTCACCCCGCACCAGTAACGACTGCAGTCTGCCCGTGTCCTCGCCTGACACAAATCGAAAGGCTCGCGTTTGCTAAGGTCCCTTCCAGCCCGACAGCTCCCCTCTCTCTTTACAGCTCAAACTCTCGTCCGATGAGGGGACCCACAAAGAACTTCCCTCGTCACGCGCCAGGCCTTTCTGACGGCCATTCCCGGGCTGAAATACCTCCTGTTCCCTGCCACCTGTGTTGGGGTGCAGGGGTACACCTGGGGCTCCAGAGGCGTGTCCTGGGCAAGCCCACCCCTCACCACTGCAGCCATGAATTGAAAAAAGACACACAGCTGGTAGGACAGAGGCAGAAATGACAATGAAAGCTTCCTAGAGGAGGCAGCCCAAGCTGAGTATTGACTGTAATAAGGAAAGCCGGCCAAGGTCACAGGAAGGGTCCTGCCGGCCAGGACCGCCAGCTCAGCGTCCCACGACCACGTGACTATTCACAGATGACGGTCTCACAGAGAACAAACAACAGAGCAAAGCACGAAGATGCATTTTATTCCTGCAGTCTTGCTGTCCACACAGACAAGATGAAAGCCGAAATATAACCAAGGCGTGGTGCCCGGAGATTTCGGCTGGATGAAGTAACTGCTGACCACGTTACTAAAACGGGGAGTGAGCGACTCTGGGGAGGCAGAGGTGTGGGCCTCGAAAAAGACCCCTTAGCTAAAACGCAGCACCTGGGGACAAAGAGGGACGAGCCGTCGTAGGGAAATGACAGGAAAGGAGAGCTTGAAATAGAAATGAGTAAAAACAGAAGTGGAAGGATTGGAAGAGAGAGATGAATGGAGCTTTTAGCAGGGTCGTCTCTAGAATTCTTTTCAGCTCTCCGATGCGCATCTATGAGACGTGAAAGTCGAGGAAAGGCGACAGTGTCATTTTCATAAGTTGCTTCTGATCGACCAAAAGGTTGGATTTGGCAGAGCCCCCAAGGCCGTCTCCTCTCCCTCCTCACTGCCACCGCCCAGACCCCTGTCCCCTGGCCCACACCCTCATCACCAGCTCCCTGCTGCACAGACGCCTCCTTCCACACCACCGCCCGGGTGACTTCCCCAGTGACTGTGCACCGTCACCCCGACCAACGGCCTCTGCGGCGCCCCTGTGCACCGTCACCCCCGCCCAGCAGCCTCGCTGGACCCAGCGGCAGCGGAGAGAAACGTGCTGAAAAACGGGCCTCGGAGGCCTGAGGCTTTCAATGACCCACTCCTGGTGTGAATTATTTCAACTGTCCCACTAAAATCTCTTCTCAACATCTATTTCCATTTTCAAATAAAGAGTCTGCCTCTTTAATTTCCTTTTTGCAGCTATTCTCCGAGCGGGAGCAGCCTCCTCTGACTGTGCCTTACGTAACCGAGCACCTTCAGTCACAGAGCTCAGCTCTCCACTCGGGCGCCTGCTCTCAAGGGGGCGGCTCCGCACCTAAGGGCCTGGTCCTCTCGGCCCCATGGGGAAGGATCAGGGCGACGTTCCATGTGCCTAGACGCAGGACGGGCGTCTCGGGGGGCCACGGACACCTCCCTGGGGAAAACTCACCTCTCCAAATCGCTCCACGTTTTGTATTTTACATAAGCTTCCGCCGATAGACATGTCATCCAAGCTGGAAAGAATTGTATTAATACTCCCGTCACTGGATGGCCTGCTTTTCAGTTTGGATCGGAAAATGTCCCCTTGGACCCATAACGATGCTTGTTTTCTGTAAAAAGGAGAGAAGACAACCTTTAGAGTAAATGACCATCATCTCAGAAGTACGATGTCTTATCAACACAGAAAGTCAAGTCGGCGGCCTTGGTACAGATGTTTCTGGTTTTTGAACTGAGAACACGTGGTCCACGGTGCAGCTGCTTCTGCATGGAGCTGACTGACCTCCCCCACTTCCCGAGTCCGGCCTAATCCTAGCTCCAGGTCATCCTAACTCCCTACCTTCATCAGCCTTCCACTCTGGACCCAACCCTGTCCCAGTGTCCACCCAAAGCCACCACTGGGCATTTCACACAGAAGCCGGCCCACTTTCTAGCTCACACCTACTGTTGTGTGGCTTGACCACCAACCTGCCCGTATGTCTCCTAGTGCACCCCCCCCCGGGCGGCTGTGGAAACAGAGGTAGTTCCTGGATTAAAGAATTGGGCTAATGAAACGATCTAATATCAAGGGAGGACAGACCAGAAGGCAGTACCCACGTCTCAGCAGGTGGAAGGAGTCAGATATTCAAGGAGAGTTACTCGTACTTGGTACAGATGGAAGATTTAATAGGAAGATGGTTAGAAAGAATTTATAGAATTTCAAGAACTTCTTGAAACACACAAGAAAATGTAGCTAGAAGGGAAAGAAGTGATTTAGGAAATTCCCCGAAGATTCAACCAGCTGAATCTAATTTAGATGTAGCACCCCTCAATCTGAGCCCCACGGGTCACTGCCATCAAGCCGAAACACACACTTCACAACTAAACCTAACGCATTATTTCACCCCTAACCCTTTCCCACAGGAAAGGAAACAAAAACCAGTCCATCTTCTACAGTAACTGGCATGAGTCTCTCACGATGAATTTCTGATGCCACCATTGCCGAAAATTCTTCCATATTCTTTATTCTTCACACCCGAAGCCATACTGGGATTTTATTCTTGCTTAGCCCATAGATTCCATGCCAGCGGACTGTCAAGTGGATCCAATGATACAAGAGTAAATGTCAGGAAACAATTCCCAATCTTTTAATAATTGAGTATTTCCGCAAAAATGTGAGAGTCAGACACAGTTCCAACTCAAACCTACGCCATGCGCTGGTTAATTCTAATAAACCACAAGATTGTCAGGTATTGTTTTAAATTCTTTTGTTTCTTATAGTTCAGATTTTAACTTTTGCTGTATTAGGAATAGCAAATTCTTAAATCTTTTAAATAGATTATTCTAAAAAACTGAACGCACTTTCCTTGACCTAACGCATATATTTAAAAATAAAAACATTATAAAAGGAAACAGGAGGGACCAATTATAATTAAAAACTCAAGCTATTACTGTTAAGACATTTCCAAGCATTTTTCCATCTCTTGAACAGGTTTTCTTCATCTTATTTTTGGTAATTTCCTGAAATAAAAAGCACTAGTTGAAACTATTAATTTCCGATGTCACTCAATTCAATTGTGAAATTTACCAAATGCTCTAAGCACCACACTGGACGTCACATTAGGTCGACACATACAGAGAAGAGCGAGCTCAGAGCCTTGTCCCATCGTGTGGATGGTGGGCCACCAGCCTCACCTGGGTGCTTGTTAGAAACACGGACTCTCAGGCCCCACCCAACCTACTGACTCAGAAACTGCATCTAATTCAGATGCTGACAAATACCCAATGGACCAGACGGACGCTGATGAAAACAAGGGCAATATTTCTGATCGCGGATTTAGAAATAAAAAAGTTTAACCGAAAAAGCGGTTACTTCCTTAAAGGGAACTTCACTCAAACGGAAGCTCTACTCTGCAAAGACACAGCTCCGTGCAGGGTCCGGATGGAGACCTGATGTGTGTTCTCCCCGTCTCGGCAGGAAACTTAAAAATCAAGACAGCAGCCCTGGCGGGTGCGGCTCGGTTGGTTGGGCGTCGTCCAGCGCTCCAACGGGTTGCTGGTTCGATTCCTGGTCAGGACACGTGCCCGGGGGTTTCAGGCTCGATCCCCAGCAGGGGGCGGGTAGGAGGCAGCCGATGGACGTTTTGCTCTCACATCGATGTTTTTCTCTCCCCCTCTCCCTTTCCTCTCTCTCTAAAAATCAATAAACTATTCTTTAAAAAAAAACAAAAAACTATCAATAGAGAACTTCCCTTAAAAAATAATAAAGACATAGGCCCTGTAAGTAAAACATCTCTGTGAATTGCAAGTCCCCTTGGGACCCACTCCCGGTCCCGTTCTAGTGGATGAAAGTTTGAACGGATCATGCTTTGGATCCAGGTCAGCACACAAACAAAAGAGAAGAGTGCCAGGGCCAGTGGGACAAGTAAGACTGTGGCCAGATCACACACAGAGGAGACAGGGACAGGCGGGCAGAAGTGGCTCTGTGGCTCCTTCCCAGCCTCCCCGATCCAAGGGCGATAAACGGTCCAAGAAGCCCGGAGCCGTCCCATCCACAAGGCTCCATCGGGGGCACGGACTTCTCTCATGTTGCAGCCATTTCATCACCACGGGCTGATACCGCCCGGGGAAACTGAGGCACGGGTGACCAGGAACCCAGATGGAACTCGATCGTGGGGACGACAGACTTACTCTTCCAGGAAGTGCTGCTGGGGCCCTATGATGGAGCCGGGCCGGCATATTCTGATCCAGGAGATGATCTCCGCGTGCGTGAACCTGTAGTGCTTCATGACGTAGCAGGCGATCAGCGTCCCAGTCCTGCCCAGACCAGCTGCGAGAGAGGGGACAGACCGGACATGCATGACACCGCACATGCAAACACATCCTGCTTAAAAATTCTGTTCACGCTGTTTTATCAGACGGGGTGGGGGGGCCTGTTTTCACCTGAAGCACCTTTTTGCCCCGATCTCACATCAACCTGCTGAGACAACTCACGTTTAATTATGGCTTCATCGGGGCTCTTCTACTAATATGAGAGTTAAGGGAAATTCGTCTTTGTTTGTGCAGAGGTCTGACAAGACCCAGGTGATCACGCTGACAGGACACAGTACAGCCTGGCGCAGGACCAGGGCTCAGGCAGTGTCTGGAGCCCCTCAGCTGGCCTTTGTGGGGACCCCAGCCTCCCAGGCTCCCCTCCCTGTGCGGGGACAGGGGCCCGCCGAGTTCCCTCTCAGGCTGCTTGTCACACTCACAACCCCCTGCCCCCAAAAAGGTGGTGCAGGAAATGTTCAAATTTCTGTGAAACTCAGGTTGCTTCGCGTTTCAAAAGGAGCCTATAATTTAATCTATAAAAAGAAGGCACTTTGCGCTCTTACCACGACTGAACAGAATAGGGGCGTCTCGCTGAGTTTCTGTAGAAACTTGAACAGGTTTGTTAAAGCATCCAGAACGAAAGGGCTCCCCGGCGAGGCGAGGCGAGGGCGGGAAGGCGTCTATCTACACCAAGTTCAAGGCCGACCCCTCGCAGGCCCCGGCGTTCCCCGAAATCCCTGCAGAGCCTCGACAGCCGCACATCGGAACACCAGTGTGGCCTTTTTTCAAATGATGGTTTGGGCCAGAAAATTTCGAGAAGTCACCGCCCTCTCTCTTATCAACCAGAAGGCAAACTGGAGGCACCGACTCGTCATAAAACGTCCCACCTTCCCCAGAAACGCGCCTCCGGTTTGTCCCCACAGAGCGCTTCACGCGAGGCTCGGGCCCAGCCGCAAAGCTCGTCCACGCAGAAGGTCCTCGCTGCCGCCTCCCTGTCGCTCAGTCGCCATGCTCGAGGCCGCGCTCGTTCCCAGAAAACTAAGCCGACTTAATTAGGGCAGATGTCACAATAACGATCGGGCCTACAGCAGATAACGCCGCCGTGGAAAGCCGCAGAGCCGTAATTAAACCGAAGGGGTAATCCTCATAAAAGGCTCGTGCGGGTGTGTCCAAGTGGGAGACACGAAACGCTCTCGAGATTTCGCCACAGGTGGGGGTGGCCTTCCCACACAGGACGGGCCTCGTGCCCAAGCTGCCGGCTTTAGGACGTCGGTCAAGGCGGCGGAGTGAGCACGCGGTGGTCGCCGCCTCCCACGACCACAGCAAAATGACAGCTGAGGCGCAGAACCACCACCGAGAACCACCTGCAGACCAGCTGCACAGCCGTCCTGTAGCTGAGACGTGAGACTAGAATGCACTAAATGTACCAAAACTGCAACAAATTATTTTAACGCTAAAAAAAAGGCTCTGGTTTTAAATAAAGGTGTAAGGAACAACTCTGCACTATAAAATAAACACAGGATGTCCCTCCAAAAATGTATACACTACTAAGAGCTGATAGCTCAACTGATGTCTCTTTTACGATTTAACCCATTAGGTTTAATAACTATTCAAAGTGTGTATACATTTTTGGGGAACCCTCTGTACGTATTCCTTAAAATGCCAACATCACAGATCAAGGATGCGCTACAGAGAACACCTGTAACGAGACCGTGGAACACGAGAAAGCTGATTTCCACACTGTTAGGCTATCGANACACCTGTAACGAGACCGTGGAACACGAGAAAGCTGATTTCCACACTGTTTGTTAGGCTATCNTTTTAAATAAAGGTGTAAGGAACAACTCTGCACTATAAAATAAACACAGGATGTCCCTCCAAAAATGTATACACTACTAAGAGCTGATAGCTCAACTGATGTCTCTTTTACGATTTAACCCATTAGGTTTAATAACTATTCAAAGTGTGTATACATTTTTGGGGAACCCTCTGTACGTATTCCTTAAAATGCCAACATCACAGATCAAGGATGCGCTACAGAGAACACCTGTAACGAGACCGTGGAACACGAGAAAGCTGATTTCCACACTGTTAGGCTATCGAGAGAGAGGCTGGTTCTAATGGAAGCTTCGCATTTCTCCTCCCCTGGACGTGTCAATACGGGACAGGACACACAGACAGAATACGTGACGCAATACCCACAAAACCAACCGCCTCAGAAATCAGGCCAAACTCATCCCAGGAAAAACACTGATTTTTCAGGACACAAAAACCGACTTTGAAAGAGCACGTGAGCATCTCCTCCTGAACACCGGTGGCTGCTTGTTGCAGAATCTGCTCTCGGGTTCCACGGATACTTGAAATATGTGAAATTGTGAAATGCAGGCTTTTTCTTGGCAATCTTTTATTATTATTTTATTTGAAAGAGCAACAGAGAAGGAGGGAGAGAAACATCAATCTGTTGTCCCACTTGCTGACGCCGTCCCTGGTTGCTTCTTGCACGAGCCCTAAGAGATCAAACCCCCGGCCCTGACCTATCGGGACTGCGCTCTACCCGGCCGAGCTCCCGGCCGGGGCAATCTTTACCAAAAGGAGCCGGCCTGGCGGAGTCAGGTCAAATGGGCCACACCTGGGGCGCGCCCGCCCCGGCCCGCACCTCCACCCCCCACCGCCACGTGACCCGCTCCCACGGGAAGCAGCGGCCCCCGGGAGACAGAAGGACGCCTTCCTCAGAGGTAGGGAGACCCGCCGCAGGGGCCCCTTCCCGCTAAGGAATGGGGAGGGGGGAGTGTCCGCGTGGATGAGCATGACCCCAGGGTCCCCATCGAAATCGGGCCACGTGCCGCTGGTCTCCATCTCCCCGCCCCGGCAGAGCGCAGCTTCCCACGGCGCTCACGTGTTCAGCCGGTACCTCCACCCACTCGCATCGAAACACAGAAACAGGGGCCTACAGAGTGGTGTTCTAATTACTGTCAGAACCGACTCGGAGCTCGTCGGAATCGGCAGTTACAGCAGCAGCAGGCACAGCACCTACCAGACAATTAGCCTGACGCCCGGCAGACGCGGCACAGCACCACCCAGTGGCCCCGAGAAGCTGCGCGTGGGGAGCTAGGGGCTCACCCCCGGCGGGCCAGGGGATTCCTCCTCTCACTGAAATCAGAGACCCCAATAAAATACCTCCACCGTGCTGGACAGTCTACAGTGGCATTTGAGGCTCAGGGCAAATAAATATGTTCTTTCCTGTTTGCTGAGCAGCTGAGAAAAGGCTGCCGGAGAAAATGCGGCACGGATGCTCCACGCCAAGTTCGGGACATACTGAAAAAGCACTCGTTTATCTGAAACTGAAATTTAACGGGGCGGCCTGCATTTTTATTTTGCTAAATCTGGCAACCTTATGCCTCCTGTAATCTGAAGGACCCCTGCCCTGAAGTACCCACCCCCGGAGACCAGAGATTCGTGTCCATAACCAAGTCTTGCAGACCTTGCAAAGAGCTAGTTAGTGACCAGTAGGCTGCCACCCCCGGCCATGGGCAGGGAAGACACTCTGGTCCACGATGCAAAAGACCAGCAGGGAAAGGGAGGGGCAGAGGGTGCAATGGGCCCGGACAGCTGGTCATGAAATAGAGCATTAACTATCAGATGGGCGGAGGAGATGGCTGCTTCTAGAAGGGAAAGAGAAGGGGAACCAACCACCCCTTGCCTCTTGACCAGTGTACCCACTTAAAGGTGCCCTGTGGGCCTGTAGACACTGTCCCTCCCCCTCATGAGGGGCCTGGGGGGAGGGAGGGGACCTGGGGGAGGCTCCCCCCCACCTGTCATCCACATCTCAGCCACACTATTCCAGGAAGGGATTATTTCAATAGGTTTGTGTTCCACTTTTTTGAAACAAAAAATATATATGAATTTTTTTTTTTTTGCTACGACACTAGGTGGCTCTGTTGGACGGACTTGCTGGCCTCGGGCTCCTCCCCTTTCTGAGCCGGGCCCGCACACACCTTTGCAGTGCACGGCGATCGCCCCCTCCGTGTTCTCGCAGATGTTCAGGAACCTGCGCACGATGTTGTCGCTGGGTGTGCTGCCGTCGATGAAGAACAGGTCGTAGTGCTCGAAGCCCGCGTCCGTGAAGCGCTTGGCCTCGTAGATCTTCTTGTTCAGCCTCACGATGGCCGTCACGTTGTGCTTCTTGAAGTAAGGGAAATAGGCTTCGGGGGCATGGAGAGGGTAACCTGGTGGGGGATGGGGGTAGAGAAGGAGCTGCGGTCAGCCCAGCGCGGGACCGGGGACACCCACACCCGCAGTCATCTCCCCGGGGTCCTGTTTGTCTCCTAAGCCTCATTCGCCAGCCTCCCCGCAACCCCCCAGCCTGTGACTCCCCAGCATAATTCCAATCAGTGCCTTTTGAGTTGGTTCTTCTGCCCCCACGGCCCCACGGTACACCTGGCCGAGGTCACCCCGCGGACGCAGGCAGAGTTTAAATGCCTGGCCTGACTGGCCCACAGCCCAGACACATACACGATCTCCGCTTTCGAGCAAACAGGTAATAGAGCCTGTTTACCATCTTCTAGGTAGAAGCGGTGACTTATACACATGCATTTAGAGAAAAGCAAATGCTTTTCAACTTGGGAAAACCAAGTCTGTGTTCCTAGTTGGTTTATTGGCCCAAATTATTGTTCTTTTGAGAAAAGGACATTGGATGGTTAACCAAATATGGCAATAGAACACTGAAATAATTAACAATAATGATAATAATTGTATCTAACGTTTACTGAGCACTTGCTATGCACCAGGCACTAAACGAAGTGCTTTGGGGGGATTATCTCAATCTTGCAATGACCCAATTGCTGATGCTGGAAAAGGGAACATGCACACCCCTGGTAAGAGAGGGAGGTGGCGTGTGAACCCTGGAGTTGGATTCCAGGGCCTGGGCTTGGGGCTCATTTCAGGTCAGATCCAACTTGCTCCTAACTGTTGGGTCTCCAAAAAGGGGACATCTAAGAGCTGCACTTCCTAGAGTTGGTAAGCAGGTCGCTTAAAAATCCTCTAACGTGTTTCAAATGAGTGGTAACAAAAAACAATACCCTACGACCTTGGAACAGCTGTTTGTGGGTGTTACCCACGCCCCGGGCACTGGGTTTAGCGCCGCAGGCTTGGCTGCCGGAGCCTTCGCCCCGCCCTTCTCCGTCCGGCCGCCAGGTGGTGCCCTGGCATCAGGAAACTGGCGAACAGCCGCTCCACCGACCAGGCCCCCCAGTCCAGAACCGCTGGGCGAATTCAGGAATCTTCTTACGGTCTGACCAGCTTGCTCTCGGGTTCCCCTGGGGCGGCTGGGGCAGGGGAAGTGAGCATCGTTCCGGAGACGACCTACGATCCCTGGTTATGAAGCAGCGACCATGCCCCCACCTACTAAAGCATGATACCGAACACTCGGATTACTCCTATATCCCGCCTTTAAACTCTGAACACCCTTTGGAGAACATCGCCAAAGGAAAGGCTTACCTGAGGAAATTAAGAATTAAAAGTGAGCTGAAACACATTTTTGGGCAGTAAAGAAAAACCTACCGTTTTCAATTTTGCTTTTTGGATGTGGTCCACTAAATGCTAAGAATTTTCCCGGAACGATCCAGTTGAAATCACCATTTTCAACTCGCTGGCAAGAATTTTGTGAGGGGGGGAAAAAAAAGAAGAAAAATATTTTATAATTCTTGTACGACTTAGGAAACTTTACAGATAAAGCTGCTTTCACGCTGTTAGTACTGGACTGACCGGAGGCAGGAGCGAGGGACAGACCCTTGTCCAACCCTCAAGGTTATACCACCACCTAGAGTCAGCCAAAGTCCCCTGCTGTGGCCGCAAACCCGACAGCTCCAAGGCTCAGGCAAGGGAAGGAAGGGCGGGGGCTCCTCAGCTCTGGCTAATGAGCCCTCTCGCAGGAAAGCCGACTTGAGTGTGGCCCACCTCCTGATCGGATTTTCATACGAAATCTCTCTGCATTTGAAATTTGCCATGTTAAGTGACGTCTCTAGATACTACACCACCAAACGAAACACACCTGTGGGCTGCCATGGATCCCCCAGGTGCCAGCCTTTGGTCTACACCAGCTAAGGGACCTTGGGAAAGGCCTGAAGACCAGGGCAGGGGCCAAGCATCCCCCCACGGCCCCACCCTCTCCTCACTTTCCTCTCCTTCCCCATTTGCCTCTGAACCTACGGACCACTGGGGCAGGGCTGGGGGCACTGGAGATGGTGCAGGAGACCGGGACACATTTGTGCGATGCCGACCCCACCGCCAGTCACAGCGTGGGGGCCCCCACGTCGCTCACGGCACCGGTGCTGCGGGCAGGAAAGGGCGTCTTCTCCCTACCGGGCCAGGGCCGCCATGCAGAAGGCCCTCTCCTCACCAGACGGGGCAGACCTTGGCAGGGGGAATCAAATACCATCTGAACTCCACGGTAGGAGCCTGTATTTGTTCCATAAACTGGAGTAAGGCCAACAAGGAAACCTCGGGACCTCTAATTACTTATACTGCCCATTCCCATGATAATCCAAACTTATTGGTACAGTTTTCACGTTTCAAATGCAGATCTCTCTCTACAGTTACAAACGAAGCTTCACACGACGCCTCCTGGATGTCTGAACTGCAGTAATCTCACCGTGATACACATGACATCTCCACAATGCCCTAAGGAAAGTCTCCAAGAACTCTACGAGTCTTAGGAGCACACACGCCAAGTCAAATCTCAAACCGTAGATTCTACATCAACTTTAAAGAATCTAATATACAACTCCTTAGGATAAACATTTTCTTGCTTAAATAAAACAGTCTCCAACTAACGGTCCAATGTCCCTCTCTAGTAAGTGTTAAACGAAAAACAGTACTTAAAAATTCAAAAATAAGGGTATGCGCTGATCCCCAAGAGGCTAAAACGAACTCTTTCATGGACAGTGGAAGCAAACAGGTTTCTGTGTCCACTGTTTCTGTCCCCTTGGCCACTAAGCAGGTCTGGACGAATATATTGAGCCACGTCTGTCTGTCTGGATCATAGACACCCTTTGGTTAAACAGTAACTCTTCAGAATCAGTCATACGGACACGGCAATGGACTCACTGGGATACATCCGCTCGCAGAACCCACAGATTATGTTTGCAAATCTGCCTACCCCAAAAGATAAACATGAATAGTATCAGTAGCCCGCATAGGGCGATGGAGGAAACAGAGAGATTTGGGTCTTGGATCCAAGTGTGGAAAAAAAAATAAGAAAGTTAACTGACTACTCATTTAAGCTTCCAAAATAAATGTGCCTTCTTTCATAGTGAATTATACAAATGTCAATATTCATCAATAATGCAATATTTAAGGTAACACAATTTGGGTTTCCTAACTAAACATACAAACACACTTCAGAAAAATCTGGCTCAGACAGGAACTGGAGGTACTTTCCAACCCGACCGCGTTTTGTAAACAAACAGCTCAGCAAGGATGAGACTACAGGCTGAGCTCACTTCTCTCAGTCTAAAGCCTACCACCTGCCAGCACTCTGGGGAAAAACCACAGATGTTCATACTATGAGAAAACACCAAGACTATAAAAGTCTGAATTCCTAAAACTGATGTAGTGAGGTGTTCCTGCCTCTACTATAGGATTCTCGGTCTACAAGACCCACCGGGAAGAGCTGACCCTCCCGGTGCGATGGAAACACCTCTGGGCTTGAATTTTTACAACTTCTAAACACCACATCCGTGCCCTGAGGCCCGCTGCTGCTGTGAGGGCCACAGATACATTTTTCAGCCCAAACGCTGAAAAACATTCGGCCTTTATACCGTTGTAACTGACAGGGAGAGAGAGAAGCTGGGCCTTGAGGTTGACAACCACAGGACTGGTGCCTGGAGGAGCCGGTGTCTTTTCTAAGACAACATGGGTAACAGTTTTTAAACCACTCTGCTGTACACCTGAAACCAATACAAATTACACTGAACGTAAGCTGTAATCGAAAATATTTAAGTGAATAAGATAAAATAACCTTCTGGGGGGAAAAGTGCCTTCTCTGTGTCTCCCTAACTTCTAGACTATGAGCGAGTGTTGACAGCAGAGCCGCATTTCATAAGCGCACACGTGCCCTAAGGACTGGCGCTTAAAGCAGAGTAACTACTTCAGTTATTTGGTTTAAATTAAGTTGCCACGCCGTTTGGCTTTTAATAATATGCGCGAGGTTCGTAGTTTGGGTTTGCTTTGGACAGAGTCAGTGCGGAGGAGGGGGGAGGAGGGGAGGGTTGCCTCACCTCTGCCGGCCACAGGCCACAGCTGGGCGGGGACAGGGAGGGGCTGCCCCAGCCCAGACAGGCGCCCCTGCCGATGCCACCCCAGGGGGCGGGAATCCCAAGCACCTCTGCCGGGGCCACTCCGGGGCTCGAGACGTGAAGATGTGCGGCCATCAGCACACACATGGTGGCTGAGACTTGGAAACAGGCGACCCCCAGGCCCCCACCCCGCGTATGGAGAGAGTAGTTAACCAGACACCCAGGGCCCAGAGAGCAGTGGCGTCGCAGGTGGGCACGGAAGAGACAAGACGGGAAAGGAGGCTGGGAAGGTGGCCCGGGACGGGAGGAGGCGGAACCGTGGGAGGTGAGGGGGGAGTGAGTTTCTAGAATTAAGAGTGTCCAGGGTTGTGCCAGGAAGAAGACTGGGCACAACCCTTTGGTGTTGCAAGTCTTGGACTAGCAACAGCGGTTTGGGGACGGTCGCAAAGATGAATGCCAGACCACAGTCCGCTGGCTGCGCCAAGAAGGTTCTCGGTAAGGAGTCTGGAGGTAAAAGAAGGGACAGCGGCCAAACGACACGTGAAGGGGAAGAAAAGACCGTGGGGAATTTCCTAGGACGAGACAGACCCCGACCCTTTATAGATCTAACCAACATGACACTGACGTGTTGTTGGCTGTAGTGTGTCACGGTTGTGGAAACGCTGGGCCCCTCCTGTTAGCAGCTGTGGCGTCCCGGAAGGAATCTGCTTCCTTCGACGTGTGCGGCCCTTAAGTGGTGTCAACGCTATGAGCCAGCTCCAGGGAAGCGCTTCCAACAGTTCCCTGAAGAGTGGGGTCACCTGGGAGACACCCCTCCTCTGTTCCTCCCGCGGGTGAGGGCCAGCCCGTTCCTGCGCCCTGGAGGCGGCCTGACGCCAGGCCTAGGGCAGAAACTCCCATTTTTCTAATTCCGTCATCGATGGACAAGGGGGCAGACCAAGCAGCCTCCAGGTGACACCCCAGTTGGCTAGAATGCCTGACGTGACGCCAACCGGGGACCATCACGCCTCAGGTGGTCAGCCACAAGGACCCCCGCTGGTGACCTCAGGTGACCTTCTGAGGGGCAGGAAGCCTAACAAACCTCGTAGGTCTCAAGCCGCGTGCGAGGGGCCGCGCCGTGGCGTCTACGCCACCTGGTCCGTCCGCGACTCTCACTGCAGCGGAGGCACCCTCAACCTGCCCACATATTAAGCTAAACTGGCAGCCTGGCCGAAGACGACGGTATCTCGCGGTGCGTGCTGCAGATAACTGGTTTAGGGAGAAAAAGAAAACCCAGCCTTACAGCACAGATCGGGCCAAGTCACAACGGCTTGATGTTCTGAGAAGCAGCTCATACGGACAAAAGGACTAGAAAGCATTTTTTTCCTCAATAAAGGAATGAATTTGGGGGGTGGGAGAGAAGAGCGGACAGACAAGAGCTCCAGGAAACAAGTCAACGTAATTTCTCAGCTTTTGAAGTAGGTTCTACGTGAACTTCAAGTTCCACCTAATCTCCCCGAAGGGTATTGAGGCAGCTCCTCGAAATCGCGGGGGCCCCGTTCTGACGGGTCACCTGGAGGCCGCCGAGACGAGGCAACACCTAGGCTGCCCGGGAGCTGTTCCTCTGCATTTCTCTCCCTCCCCATCTAGGAGCAGGGCACTGTCCCGACGGGACAACTCTCCTCCACGCTCGGAGTTCATCCGTGTACAGCAACATCATCTGTGATGGCAACATCAACAAGGCGAGCCTTCTGGTCAACAGCAGGAAGCCCCGTTTGGTTCGATTCGGTTCGGTTCGGTTTTGGGGAGAACCAGAATCTTCACTGGTTTTCCCTGGGGCCAAAGGGCCATTTTCATGTTTTAAGTGAGTTGACCAATGGTTAGATTTCAAAGGGCCAGCTGCTCTCAGTTCTCAGGTGTCCTGAGAATCCCTTGCGAAAGCTGTTGGGAAAGTGCGAATGTTCAGACAGATTCTTCGAGGAAGCTTCTGGACACCATCATCTAGAAAGTACTCAGCCGACCTTCAGAGCAGAGCGACCAGAATGACACATCTGATCAGTGCAAATGCTAAGAACGCACAGTGAAACAGCCCCTGGGCAGAGGACCGAGACCTTACTTGGGAAAAGACACCTTTCTTTATCAATAACTGACACAATGGGCATCTGTGAGTCACAGGAACATAAAGCCGAGTCTTCCCCGGGGCCTTCTACCCCAGACGTGGCCTTGACCGGCTACCACCCCTCACGGCCCCACCCTCCAGCAGCCTTTGCCTGAACCCCGCATGGCTGAGCAGGGCGACCCTATTCAAACGCCCTGTGCTGGTGCCTGGAAAGAAGTTCAGCCAACTCTCTGAACTAAGCCAGTTCAGCCACATTTCCAACAAGATGCAAGCCGTCAAAAATATTACCAGGCACAAGTCCAGTTTTTCTCTCAACAGAACCTGAATTTTAAACTAAAAGTAACTTACAATTTCACAACCACACGATACCATTATTTTTCTTATAATGGTGGAAAGTAATTGTCGATACAGATTTGGTGGAATATACAGAGATACAGCATTTTCTGTAACCAAAATGATGGCTCCCAGTCAAAGCAGAAAAGGCACTGACAGCTATAGGAAAATCCAGGATGACTTCATTCACCAGCCTTTCCATCTGCAACGCCTGCCTGTTAGCAGGGAGTGGGGAGGTGACCATTTAATCAACAGGTGATTATATCCTACACAGAATGGAAATGTACCCACCTCATAGTGTTCGTATTCATCCACGTCGAACGTCTCGAAGTCGAAAAATCCATGCTGTAACCCCTAAAAGCAGAATCCGGTTAGTTTTTCCGCCGCGGATTGACCAAGGCGTCTTGCCAGTCCTGGGATTCCCGCTCGCAAGCGATGCTCAGCGACGGAAGGACAGAGCCTGGGACCTTGGCTTCGTGAAGCCCACGGAGAGGTCCGCTTCCAGCCTTAGTCGTGTCACTCTGAGTCCGTCAGAAAAACGTGAAAACGTGTGCCACAAAACGTCTCCCGAGGTCATTTACATTAGTTTTGTGTAAAATTATTTATGTCTACAAAATGCATCGTACTAGCAAACTGATAGTTAAAACATGTCCCAAAAGTTCTCACAAATCTTTTAGATTAACCTCGTTTCATACACGGGTGGGCAAAAGCAGGTTAAATTACCAGCCATCGTTCCCTAAAAGGTAAATCATCAGTAAGGATATGTAATAATAACAACAATAGGGAGAAGACAAAGTAATACAAATAAATACTACCAAAAATTAATAAATAAATGACAGTGTTTCTTGGACTCACGACTGTGAGCCTACGTTTGCCCACCCCTGTATAAATAACTAAACATCCTACTCTGACTTTCAGTGTCACCTGAGGGCCCCACGCCCCGGCTGACCGCGCACCCTGATGTGACACTAGAAAGGACTCCGGCGATGTGGGGACGGGAGTCAGAGCCGGCCCTGCTCACGCCAACTCCCAGTGGCCCCGACAGCGACTAACCTCTGGGGCTGCTCTCAGCTGGAGAAATGAGGTAATAACCCCCCACCTAGTTCCTCCTCCGATTGGAAAGCAGAGGGAGGCAGCGGCTGGGAAACTGCCCGTCGCTCCCACCCCAGATCCAGCCGGAGAGCGAGGCTGACGTCACGGGCTCCGCAGAGGCGGAAGGGAGACGTCTGCCCAGAACACACACAGCTCAGTGGGAAAGGGGGACCCCTTCCACCTGTGAGGAGCTGCGGAGAGACCCCAGGGGCCTCCGTGACATGCCCTAGTCTCTGTTTTACAGACCAATCGCCGTTCGAGGCGCGGCGAGCCTCCCGCCAACAGCCGCCCCCTCCTCCCGACAGCGCACGGGGACAGGGACACCACCCCCTTTTCACGTTTGCAGAGGGCGGTGTCGACCTCAGCAAGGAGAGCTGCAATTACCTTTCTGATTCCCTGCAAACAGTCGAGGATGGTGAGATTGTAAGTGCAGTTTCCAAAGGAAGCATCCCTGCGGACACACAGAAAAGCTCGCCATTAAAAACAGGGTCAGCAGTGACACGGTGAAGCACCAGCATCAGCTGGACTCGAGCTCCGTCCGCTTCCCAGCCGCCGAGGTCGCCGCCCGCGACCGTCAGAGGCTACCAGTTGGCCACTCGCTCCCCGGCCGGGCCCAGGCAGCTCGGAAACGGCCTTGGCCAGTGGGCAGAGCCCATAAGCAAGCCGATGGGAGGCCTGAGCTCCGGGGCAGACTCTCCACTCAGATCCCGGCCCTCCGGGGACCATGAGCAAGCTGCGTTCCCTCTGAGAGTCTCGGTTTCCTCGCCTGTGAAGCGAAGGTGCCGAGAGAAGCTCCCAGTCACAGGATCGTGGGCGGGTTACACTTAGGAAACAAAGTCCTTCGGACGGTGCCTAGCGCACAGGAGGCCCTTAAACACGATGACCACTATTAGGGTGATCAACAGTCCCACTAAGTAAGACACGCGTCGTCCTGAAGAGCAAGCACCGTGAGATGTGGTGAACGCAACTGTAAGACTGTAAGGGGGCCTGGCCGTGGGGCTCCGCTGGTTGGGCACCCTCCCCTGCACCCAGAGGTCGCCGGTTCGATCCCCGGTCAGGGCACATGCCGGGGTTGTGGGCTTGATCCCCAGTCGGGGGGGTGCAGGAGGCACCGATCAATGACTCTCTCATCATTGATGTTTCTACCTCCCTCTCTCTGAAAACATTTTAAATCAATAAAAACATAGTTTTTAACTGTAAGGGAAGGACAACGGATGCAGGTCAACAGAACCCAGCAGCTGTTTTCATGGTTCAAATGGCACCCTCCCATCCCTCCCTTCCAGCCACCCCCAAAAAAATGCAAGGAAGGCAGTCAGCTCCTGAAGGACCTCCCACCACGAGAGCTGCTAATGCACCGGCAGGTTCCCTCTAGAGGGGCGGGAACCTCCTGCACCCAAAATTGAGGGCTTCATCCTTTCTGTAAGTTTTTAGAGCAACTTAGCAGACCTGCTTGAGGCAACATAAGACTAAGGTATCAAGTTCAGGTCAGTTAAGCAAGAACTGGCACCAGAGCTTTAAAGTAGCCGTGCTCCAAGGTGTCCAAGGCGAGAAACTTGACCTCGAGGCTCTGTCTCGCTGCCCAGCCCCCACTGCTGGCCCAAAGGGGGAAGGGACCGGGCTGTCGGGCACCTGCGACGACAAAGTCCATCCAAGGGCAGCAGGGGGAGGGGCCGGCGTGGTTCCACGGGGAGAAAATGACCTCGAGGAGCTTTAACATTTAATTAATATAAAACTGAGTTTTATGTCACACGCATCCAAGGTAACCTGAACTGACGGTTGCTAAGCCATGAATTAAGATGCAACTGCAGCCCTGGCCGGGTGGCTCCGGTGGCTGGAGCGTGGTCCCGTACACCGAAGGGTTGCGGGTTCGATTCCCGGTCAGGGCACATACCTGCTTCTCAGATCGAGCAAAAGGCTATACGCTGATCGCTGCTCATCTAAGAAAGGGAGATACGTGAAACTCATTTCTAAGTCACGGTTTAATAGGTCCCATGAAGCCAGCAGAAGAGAATCAGTCTCGAACCAGCAATAACAGAAAAACGGACCAAGGGCTGAGCTGCAGGCCTTTCTGTCAACACCTGAGTGGCGCCCATTTAATCACACTAATTTCACTATGAAGATAAACGTTAACAGTTGAGAGCTTCACAGAACAGGCACCCTCCACAGAACGACGACTTTCATTCTGGTCAGCGACTGCAGTCTCCTTCCAAACCACCTTCACCCGCTGGGGCTGGCTCCTGGGAATGTACCATGAAGACTACAAAAAAAAAAAGTTGGCACTGGCCCCTCTACAGACAGTCTGGTGACACTAATCTGGGACCATAAAAATAGGAATGAAAAAACGGGCAGCCTGAGCCAACGTTCACAGCTCAAACCTTTGAAGCAACGGATGGGGTAGGAGTCGCTCACCTCCTTACATGTGTGGAGTGGGTCCCAGAGACCCCAACAGTTGTCCCTGTTAACAGAACCTCAATACAGAGAAATCGGACAGAGTCTGCTTCTCGGGGGGGTCCACGCTGGCCAATGCGCCCCGTCCCCGTTGAGAATGGACTCAACAGTTTGGACTAGATAGGCCACCTGTCAGCACTTATCTTTGACCGTCAGGAAACTGGCACTCCGCTCGCTGTCCAAAACCCATGCAGACTCCCCCCCTCACGCCAAGCCTCCAATGCAAAGGTTTAGGAAAGACTCATGGGGGAGAACATCTGTAATACTTTCAACAATAAAGATCAATTTTAAAAAATACCAGCAGTGATGTATGCACAGTGATGTTTACTGCAGTGTTATTTATACCATAATAAACTGCAAACCAAAAAACAAACAAACAAAAAAACGATCCATGGGGGCATGACCCCGAAGATCAACACAGAGAAGCAGAGGGGCAGCCGGCCTGCACGAACAAGAGCCGAGAAAAATAAATTTGGCTTCTACATTTTTGATACTCCAGAGAAAAACGTGCTAAGGAGAACTTTCTTCCCCTCTGAAGTACAAAGTTAATTGCTAAATAAACTGACAAAAATCACACTTACATAAACAGGTCGACTTCATAATGACATCTAACATCTACCGGCACATGTTTACTTCGCTTTGGAAGGGAGGAGGCAGCCCAATGCCAGGTGCCCAGCGGCTGACCCCTGCGAGCCTTTGTTGGAGACCTGCAAGTCCCCACTTGCCCAGAGGGCCGGAGTCAGCGCCCCAGAGGCGTCCCACGGAGAGTCAGCCACACTAGGACTCAGCTCGGCAACGGAGACGTCACTAGGGGTCACCCCCAAACACAACAAACCCTCCCTAACACAAGTGCGGGTGCATTTCCCTGACAGGCCCGTAAAGGACGGTCTGCGGGAGGTCTGCTGAGGGTTTTCTCCCAGAGAGAAAACTTGCATATTGCTCTCCGGGAAGATAAAACACTTGATCGCTGAGTTTTATTATTATTAGTTCCCTGCAGTAGATCGTATAGAGCAGTATAGTTCTCAACTCTGGCGGCATATTGAAATCACGTAGGAAGTTTCTAGAAAACCCAACACCCAGGCTTCACTCCAGACCAGTTCTATCAGAATCTCTGGGACTGGAACCCAGGCATAAACATTTTTTAAAGCTTCCCAGACTTTTAAACTCCAAGCATGGGAACCAACAGAACTTTGGGAAACCTTGACCTATGAATTCTGAACCTTCTCCAAGCTAAAATTAAACAAACACACACAAATGCACTCCTGGGCCCACCCAGGAAGAGTGTCTCCACATCGCAAGCCCCCCCAAAAAACCAACCACTAAACTAACAGTTGGTAACAGGACATCCAACATCCAACCAGCTCCATTCCACTGGATGTCGATGGGACCCCTACCTCAACCTCGCCTCTTTTTAAATTTGCGTCATCTTGAAATAATTTTTAGCTACGTTAACAAAAAGCTGTAATTTTTAAAAAAAAAATTAAGATAAATCCAAACAGAAAAACTCAACCAGGTCACCCTTTCCGTTATAGTAACGCACCAACACTGCAAATGTCATGTTCTGTGTGTCCTACCTGACCTGCCTCTATAAAGACGACCTGGGCCATACAGATGGAAAGTCACAGCACCTGGAATCAGCACCGGGTCTGTTCTTCAGTTTCCATCCTAATGTGAAAAGCGTGCGCGGGGCTCACCCTTCCATCTCCTCCAACCCCTGGTTGCAGGGCATTCCCGTAGCACTTACCTCCTAACTCTAATAAGGTGCTATAATTATCCACCTGGCTGCACACCTCCAAGCCGGACCCTGAGTCCCCGGAGCAGGCACCCTGCTGTCCTAGGCACCTCTGCGTCCGCAAGACCATCACAGTGACCGGCACAGAGGAAGCAGTGAATGAACGAACACGGGGTATCCTTTCCCTGGCACGCAAATGAGAGCCCGACCGGCCCCCAAGAGAAGGGTCAGCCACACGGTGGAGAGTGAGCCGTGCAGACCAGTAGCCACCACCCGAGGTCTCGTCTGCTCTGACGGCGTGTGCAGCCCATGGACTGGGGCACGGACAGGACGTGATGGGGAACTCGAGGCGAAGGACCTGCGAGCTCTCTGGAAAAACAAGGACGGCTTTGCAGCAGAGACTGCTCAGATAAATGCTCCTTAAGTGAGGAGACCTTGGGGAGCAGCAGTATCTAAATTCACGGTAGCCCTACAAACCCCTTCGTTAGGGCGCAGCCGTTGTGGCTCAGAGGACTGAGCGTATGTCGTCCGGGGCACCGAGAGGTCGCCGGGTCTGACCCCCAGCCAGGGCTCGCGCCTGGGTTTCGGGCTCAGTTCCCAGGAGGGGGTGTGCAGGAGGCAGCCCGTGGATGCTTCTCTCTCTCTTTCCCTCTCTCTAAAAAAATCAACATCAACATAAAACAACTCTGCAGAAAGGAAATAATAAAAACCGCCATCTCGTTTCACTCCATACATCGTGACGGTCACAGTCCTAAAATAAAACACGGTAACCCGGCTCCACAGCAGCGAGCGGCCAGCAAGCGCCGCGGCCCACGTCCCACCAGCAGCCGCTGTACCTGAACGGAAGGTAGGGGGCGCTGGAGCCAGAGAGGAGGGCGCGGTAGGCTTCTTCCGGCGTCTTCTTCAAATAGATGACCTGCGGCAGACAAACAGCATCGTTCAGAAAGAACTCCGCCCAAGAGTGACCCACCACCAAGTGACCCACCACATTCGCATCTCACCTCTTCTCTTCGAGGGACAACCGTCATGGGGATACCGTTGCTCTTTAGACAGCAACCAAGCTGCCCAAATTTCCTTTTCAGCCTTTGGCTTAAGGACGGGTAAGAGTTTAGGGACAGAGGCAGACCCAGGGCTGTGTCCAAGGCTCAAGGGCAGATGCCATGGGGGATGAGGGGTTCCCTTCTGGGAGCAGAACAATTCTACGTCCATGATGGTACCATGGGCCTCCCTGATCTTCACAGAAGATCCACCTTGAGCTAATTCGGTGTCTGGTGAAAGCTGAAAGGTTTCTATCAGGGTGAGCACAATACCCATGGGAGGGCTACTGGGTTCTCTGCCTGCTTTGGGGAAAGTCCGTGTTGCTCTCTAAATGCTGAGTAAAATCACCTCGGGAACAATGACACTGCTTCCCTTTCACTCCAGGCCATCCTTCCGCAGGAGGGAGGCGACTGCCCACGTGGACACGGCCGACCACGCTCCCCCGGACTCTGCTCTCCTCTTACCTGCATGACTGAGCACGCATGACCCATGCTCTCCCACGGTAAGATGAGCCTTTGTTTTTATTTTTATCCCGGCGCTCAATTATTAATAAGTGCAAAGTGAAACCCCGCCGAGGCCGTCTAAATTCCAGGAAGACTCCCGGGGCAGGTGAGTGCAGTGACCTTCTACAACCTGAGGATGGGGACACGGCAGGTGTCCCAATGAATGCGGGTGTTGCTGAGCGCACGCACACCAGGGTCGTTAACATACCAGGTTCCATGTTTCTGAGAGAAAATGTGTCATGGTTCTTAGGCCAGACCGTCTGTCAGTGGCATCTGGGGTCCAGAGCCAAGTGCCTGGGTTCAAGTCCCGCCTCTTCCTTTCACTTACTGAGCTGTATGATGTCAATTCTCTGCTCCCGCCTCCGTACCGGTGGAGACGATAACTCTACTTGCCTCTTAGGGCTGATGGTTGGGGAGATTCAGTGAGCTCGTGGTATAGGCAAAGTGCTCAGGCTTGTGTCTAACACATAGCTCTTCTATAGCAAGGGACCACAGAAAGGAGATAAACTTTGGTCCCCAAATATTTTTCCCTCCTTTTACCCCATGTCTATGCGAATCCGGACCCACGACTGTTGGCATTTCTGATGCCTTGGCCCTAACGACGGGCTGTGTATACAAACATCCCAACGTGAGGTTGTCAACATCCCCATGATTGCTACAGACCAAAACCACAATGCACGGGCCATCCTTTAGCTCGGCCTTCTCACATTAAAGTACAGACGTGAACCCGACTCTCTGGAGCCTCAGCATCAACAACCACAAAACCAAGGGACTGGCCCATTTGATCAAATCCATTGTCAACATCCCAGAAGATCCCCGAGGAGCCCACATCTCTCTGCAACACAGTCGGTGTAACCAGAAGAGAGCTGATGCTACGCCCCTGTTTCCTCATGTGAACTTCTCATAAACAAAAGCACACGGTGACCAGGCTGGGTCTGTTTTTCGGGGAGGGAAGCAATGACCAGTTGCCTGCAGAGAATAAACCACAGAAGCCGGTGAACGAACATCTATAAGAACCACTGGGAGGTGGGAAACTGGGCAAAGACTTAAAACATAAAACTTTCATTCTAAGTCTCTTCCTTGGTTCCCAAGACTTTGGTTCTCAGACTTCTTAAACGTCAGGGCACTTGACTGATAGGCCGCCTTTTCCTGGAGCCAGCCTTAAGTCTTCATTGTCATACACAAGCACAAACAAAATGTTTAATTTTATTATTTTTAGCCACACTTTTCTTCTTAATCATTTCCTCCCATTATAACCGGCGACTGAGAAAACAATGTCAACTTTAAAACTTTTAAAAAAAAAAGGGAAAAAGGCAACAATTTCTCAAATGCACGACTGATTCTACTTTTGTTCTAATTGCTACAGAAATTTAAAAAATAGTCGGTGTTCAATCATCATGAATCAGAGAGGTAAGTCTGATGACACACCAGAAATGCAACTGAATGTTGAAAACAGCCTGCGTTTTATTCGGTCTATTTTAAACCACTTGTTCTAAACAGTCTAATTAATTACAACAGAACAGGAACGAATGGGTCCTGCCTCCAACAGTCTTTAACACATCGTACAAGGCCAGTCATTCTTCCTGTTCTTAGGCTTGAGACGGTTATAAGCCACAGACTGCCGGGCCTGCAGCAGGGAAGACAATGCATCTGCCTAATACCTAGGAGGCGACACTAATTATAGCCTAAGGCGGACCTGATGCCAGGGATCTGTCCCCAGGGCTTGTTTCTACCCTAAAAAAAACAACATAACAGTCCTCTGGCCTCCCTACAAAAACAAGGTCTGCATGTCTCTGGACCTATTTGTTCGTCAGTTTATTAAAGACATGGAGGCATGGAACAGACTGACATATCTCTGGGGGTGGGGAGGGAGACAGGAAGAAATTAACCAAAGAACTTACATGCATATGTGCATAACCCATGGACACCGACAATAGTGCAGTGAAGGCCTGGGAGGGGCAG